AAGTAGCTAGGACTACAGATGTGCGCCACCACCCCTGGCTACATTTTTTAAAAATGTTGTAGATCTTCCCCAAACCCATAACCCCAGTCTAATTGTGAGGAAAGCTTAGGACAATTCCAGTCAGGGGGCAAAGTACCTGACCAGTTCTCTTTAGAGCCGTGTCACAGCTGTGAGGTACCTAAGGAGAACTGACAGGCTATCCTGTAGAATCCTGGTGGGGATCCTGGGACAGAAAAAGGACATTAAGGAAAAACTAAGGAAATCTGAATAATGTGGGGACTTCTGTTAATAATTTGTTCATTAATGTCTTGTTGGTTCATTAATTGCGACCAGTGTACCATGCTGATGTGAGATGCCAGCGATGGGCAGAAATGCCAGAAGTGACACCGCAGGAATAACGCTTAACCCAAGGGGCAGGAGGGGTCCCTGCACGATCCTTCTGGGGTCTGCACAGTCTCGGGGGCGCCTTCCTCAAAGCTTCACTCCAGTGGCACGAAGCTATGACCTGCTTACTGCCGTACCCTTGTTTGCATTTTTTTTCCTTCCCTAATTTCCCCTGGTCCTCTGGGTCAGCTTTGGGGGGGGGTTGGGGGGAGGGTGCCACACTAAGACAATGTGCAATAAATATTTATTGACTGAATTCATGGATTAGGTGAGTAAGAGTCCTGGCATTCAAAGAAATTATCATCCAAGAAGGAAAAGAATGTTAGAAATATACAGTCACTATTAATTAATGAGATACAGGTGATAATTGATGAGAAATAACAGATAGAAAGCCATTTTAGACTTCCTTCCCCTTTCCAAGTCAGGATCGGTTGCCTGCCCGGGCGATCGTAGTGATGGAGTACTCACCCTCAGCGAGCGCATGGGCTTTGAGGGTGGAGAAAGGGCCATGTGTTCACTGTGTGTCTGCACACCAGGACAAGCCTGGGACCCGGGCAGCCCTCCCCAGCGTGTGGGGGGGGCAGCGTACACTGGTGAGTCAGGCACCAGGGTTCAGTGGAAGAGCGTTCGGAGCTTGGGACAGAGCTCCAAATCCCACCTGGGTCCCTTCTTTGCTGTCTGACTTTGGGCAAGTGATGCTTCTCCTAGTCTCAGTTTCTTCAGAGGTAAGGTGAAGAAATTAAGGCATGTTCCCAAAGGTTGTTACATAAACTAAATGAGGTGATTTACCATAATATCAGCTTCCTTGTGAGGACTCAGATATTTGCTTATTTTGTGGGAAAAGATGGCATTTGAGATTGGGTTGAAGTCGGACAAGAAAAAGTAGATAAGGACATTAACATTATAGCAAATGAGCAAATGCAGGAAGGTGAGCTTGGAGACCACAGGGACTTAGCAGGGAGCTCATCTGGTCGTGAGAACAGGTGGGAAAATGAAGTTGCAGAGAAGCCAGACATGGAGATGCAGGGGTGCAACCCTCAGCCATCAGGACTCAGTTTCCCAGCAGGAGGGCAGACACTTGAGCAGGACGTGTCCAGGAGGTGACTGGAACGATGGAAGTCTGAATTATGAATTGTCATATCCTGAAGAAGGGTCAGAATGGAAAATAGACTTGGGAGTGGTCCACAGAGCTTGACGTGGAATTGGCAGACCAGCCAGCATAGGTCACCACAGCAGGAATATAGAGTCGTGGAGGCTCCTTTCCACAGTCAGGGAACTTGGTTAGCATCACCCTGTTAACACTTACAGTGCTAGTTAACATATACACTAAAGTAAATTTTATTCCTAGATATTTCCCAAGTAGTGCACATCTTCCTAAAGTACACAGAGCAGTGTGGGCCGAATGGAGCTGTCGGAGAAATCTCTTGCAGATAGTGTCATTTGAGGGGATCGTGAAGCTAGGGAGGACTTAGGTTGGCAAAACGGGGAGAGTGGGTCCTGCAGGCCCAGGGAAGGAGGGAGACCATCCTGGCTGAGAGCACAGCTTTGAGATCAAGAGGCATCAAGTTCAGATTCTGCTTCCACAACCTCCTGGTCATGTCCTGGAGCTGAGGTCTAATGAAGGAGGAGTTAACTGTGGGCCACGAGGAGATGGAAAGGCACTGAGGGAGAGGAAGCCGCCGTGGAAGGGAGAGCATCGCTATGGCGAAGGGCTAGAGGAAGACACTGTGGCTACAGAAAACTCTGGAGGGGACATTTACTGTTAAAACAAGCTCGGGGTGGGAGTCCTGGCCCCTCAGGTCCTGGAGGCCACTTCCAGGCTTTTGTCTTTTCTCTAAAGCAGATGGAAGCCACCAAAGTATTCTCAGCAGGGGGGTGACAGGATTAGATTTACATCTGGTGAAATCTTTCTGGGTGCAGAGTGGACAGCTGCCAGAGGAAATGAGCCTGGAGGTAAAGGGATGGTGAGGGAGCTAGGGGGGACCATGGAGGCAGTGAAATGGTGGGTTTCAGAGAGATTTGGGGTACACGTTCAACAGGGCGCCATGGTACACTGCAAGGAGAGAACGATGGCCAGGAGAACATGTAGATTTCTGCATAGCTGGCTGGGTGGTGGGGCCATGCAGTTTACTCGGGAATATGCTGGGAACCCTACGGTACATTGTGTTGTTTCTGTTTAAACTGTCAGTTAGCTTTTATAGAGATTTAAACAATTTAAAAAGGCATTTTTATATGTGTCCACATAGTTGCCATTTTTTTTGTTCTTTGTAGATTGATGTTTCCGTATGGCATTTATGTAAATATTACCTTTTAAAAAAATGTTTAATTTCCAATTGTTCATTGCTAGTATATAGAAAGACAGTAACTTTGTTTTTGGCTTTTTCTGTTTGCATTTGCTTTATTATAGTTACTTTTTTCCTTTATATATTTTTAAGTTTTATTTCTGGTTGACAAATAATTGTACATATTTATGGAAATACAATGTGATATCTACATTGACACATATCTACATTGTGTAATGATCAAATCAGAGTAATTAGCATATCCATCCCCTTAAACATGTATTACTTTTTTGTGATAAGAACATTCAAAATCCTCTCTTCTAGCTATTTTGAAATATAGAATATATTATTACCAACTCTAGTTGTCCAGCTCTGCAGTAGAACACCAGAGCTTATTTCTCTGTCTAACAGTAGCTTTGTACCCACTGACCAACCTTCCCCCATCCCTCCAGCTCCTAGTAACCACTGTTCTATGAGATCAGTGTTTTTAGATTTCACATAATAAAATCATGTGGTATATTTGTCTTTCTGTGCCTGACTTATTTCACTTAATATAATGTCCTCCAGTTTAATCTGTGTTGTCACATGGCAGAATTTCATTCTCTTTTATGGCTGAATAGTATTACATTGTGTATATATACCACATTTCTTTATCCATCCATCTGTTGATAAGTACTTAGGTTGATTCCATATCTTGACTATTGCAAATAGTGCTGCAGTGAACACGGGAGTGCAAAGATCTATTTGATACAATGATTTCATTTCCTTTGGATATATACCCAATAGTGAGATTGCCAGATCACATGATAGTTGTAGTTCTTGGCATCTTTGTTGCAAATCAATTGACTATAAATGCACAGATATATTTCTGGGCTTTCTAGTCTGTTCCATTGGTCTGTGTGTGTGTTTTTATGCCAGTGCCATGCTGTTTTGACTACTATAGCTTTCCAGTATATTTTTAAATCAGAGTAGTGTGATGCCTCCAGCTTTGTTATTTTTGCTCAAGATTACATTGGCTATTTAGGGTCTTCTGTGATTCCTTACAGATTTTAGGATTGCTTTTTCCTATTTTTATATAGAAAGTCATTAGTATTTTAATAGGGATTATATTAAATCTGTAGATAGCTTTGAGTAGTATGGACATTTTAACACTATTAATTATTCCAGTCCATGAACACAGAATATCTTTCCATTTATTTTTGTCTTCTTCAATTTCTTTCATCAGTGTTTCATAGTTTTCATTTGTAGAGATCTTTTACCTTCTTTGATTAAATTTATTCCTAAGTATTTTTTTTTTCGTAGCTTTCGTAAATGGGGTTTTCAGAATTTCTATTTCAGGCTGGGCGTAGTGGCTCATGCCTATAATCCCAGCACTTTGGAAGGCAAAAGTGGGAGGATCACTTGAGCCCAGGAGTTTAAGACCAGCCTGGGCAATGTAATGAGACCCCATCTCTACAAAAAAAAAAGAACCAAAATTAGACAGGCTCAGTGGCACATGCCTATAGTCCTAGCTATTGAGGAGGCTAAAGCAGGAGGATTGCTTGAGGCCAGGAGTTTGAGATTACAGGGAGCTATGATCGCTTCTCTGTACTTCAGCCTACACAATAGACGGAGACCCTGTCTCTAAAAAATGAATGAATGAATGCATAAATTTCTATTTCAGATAGTTGTGTATTGATTTTGTATTCTCCAACTTTACTGAATTTGTTTTAGTTCTAACAGTTTTTTGATGGATTCTTTAGGGTTTTGTATATATAAATTCATGTCATCTGCAAACAGGGACCAATTTAAGTTTTTCATTTCCAATTTGGATGCCTTTTATTTCTTTCTCTTGCCTGATTGCTCCGGCTTAGGACTTCCAGTGCTATATTGAGCAGAAGTGGTGAAAGTGGGCATCCTTGTCTTGTTCCAGATCTTAAAGGGAATACTTTCAACTTTTTCCCATTCAGATAGCTGTTTTTGATTTATTAACCCTGTATTCTGTGACCTTGCTAAACTCATTCTTTTTAGATCTAGGAACTTTTTCTAGATGCTTTTATATTTTCTATGTAGAAAAATCACACAATGTGCAAATAAAGACAGTTTGTTGTTTTCCTTTTCAACACGTACGCTGTGCTTTCATTTTTTCCCTTGCCGTGTTCATTGCACCAGCCAGAACCTTCAGTACAGTGCTGAGTAGAATTAGTGAGAGCCGACACCCTTGCCTTGTTCTTGACCTTGAGGGGAAAACATTTCAAATTTTAAGTCTATTAGTGTAGGTTTACTTACATGTTCTTCATCGAGTTGAGGGAGCTCTTTTTTATCACTGACATTTTGCCTTTTTTTTCCTTTTAGCAGTAGAAGACTCAGAAAGTGGTGTTTACATGCGGTTCATGAGGTCACACAAGTGTTATGACATCGTTCCCACCAGTTCAAAGCTTGTTGTCTTCGATACTACATTACAAGTAAGTGTACCCTATTTTCATGAATTTTTGGTATAGTATTTGGATGGCTGCTTTATACGGCAATTTAAATCCAGCAATGCCAGCAGACATTTATTGAGTCCTTTTCACCTATCAGACACTGTGCTGAGGTTTTGTCTGAATTCTCAATTTCCATGACAATCTTATAAGGAAGGTGCTATTACTGTCCTCTTTCTACAGATGAGGAAATTCTAGAGTTTAAGATTAGGTCACAAAGCTTAATCCACAAAATCTAGAGTTGAAGGACTTAATCCACGGAGCTGGTATATGATGGGGTCTGGAATTTGAACACAAGTCTATCCAATGTGTGTCAGAGCCTAAGCCATTAATCATTAAACTACACTGCCTCCCTCAGTATATCCACATGTCTTTTCTTGGTTATTTAGTAGAATACATAATAAATAGATTTGAGGCCGGGCGCTGTGGCTCACGCCTGTAATCCTAGCTCTTGGGAGGCCGAGGCGGGCGGATTGCTCAAGGTCAGGAGTTCAAAACCAGCCTGAGCAAGAGCGAGACCCCGTCTCTACTATAAATAGAAAGAAATTAATTGGCCAACTGATATATATATATAAAAAAAAAAAAATTAGCCGGGCATGGTGGCACATGCCTGTAGTCCCAGCTACCCGGGAGGCTGAGGCAGAAGGATCACTCGAGCCCAGGAGTTTGAGGTTGCTGTGAGCTAGGCTGACGCCACGGCACTCACTCTAGCCTGGGCAACAAAGCGAGACTCTGTCTCAAAAAAAAAAAAAAAAAAAAAAAATAAATAGATTTGAAATAATATTGGCTAAAAAGAAGAACATTACTAAGGTGGATAATCTCTTGAGGAAGAACTTTATTTTGCAAAAAATTTGAACCTGATCATTTTGGTATTTAATTGTGCTTATTGAAGTTTGCTTTATATAATCAATATGATTTATGATCATGTAAGAAAAGTCCTGAATAATACACTCAATAGAATGATCAAACTACATTCAATGTAATAAAAAAAAGTGTGTGCACAGATATACACATATATGCACGTATACATTTAGTGTATTATTTCTATATAAATCATTATATACAAATTAACAAACCTGGTAGGATTGTCTTCAGTTGAAAAGAAGATTCTGAGCTAGCACTTCACAGGTAAGTGGCTTGTGACGGATGTGCTCCCAGGAGAAACCACGAAGGGATGGGAGGAGGACAGGCGTGGAGGAAGCCAGCAAGGGCGTGGTGGAGGGCAGGCTCGGCCTGTCGCCCAAGGGACTCTGGCCTGTGAGGACCTTTGAGTGTGTCCCAGCCTCTTCCATTCTCTGCATTGGTTGATCCGCCCAAGCTCTTCCAGCTCCGTCCAGCCCTGCAGTCCCCCCACCCCATTCTTCCCAGCTGTGCTCTGCCTCCGCCCCCACACATGGGGCGGACCCTCTGGAGGGCTCCCCGGGCTTTCCGAGCCACTTTGCTTGCATTCTGTGCCCGCCACATAGTACTCACAGGAAGACAAGAATGGTTCTGCTTTGTTTAGTTTCATTTTCCAATTGTGTCGATCTGTCTGGCCATCTCAGTGCTGATAAAGCTCAAACGTACAGCTGGAAGCTCTGCCCACTGGGGGGGGGTTATACACCAGTGTCCTCGAGAGCCGCACTGTATAGTGCCAGTGGGGACCAGCCTGGCAGGAGAGGCACCTGTAAACCAAGCCCAGTTTTGTCCCTGCCAGTCAGCATTTCACAAGGATCTCCCTGGAACCTGTGGAAGTGGATGGAGGGAGGGAGGCGAGGGTGTAGGCACCAGCATCAGAGCAGCTGTGTCATCTGCTCGTGCAGCTTCCTTGTCCTTCACAGGCCTGGGGAAGCCCCGTCTCCACCTGCTGGGAGAATGCCATGTCCACACACAGCCTTTGGCTCGGGGTTCAGACAGCACTGCGCGTGTGATGGGAGCTCAGGTTGCATGGTCACTTGGCATCTCACAGCCAGTTGTTTAGTCTCTGCCAGTGCCCAGTAGTAAGCCAGCAACTGTCTCCCAAAAGGCAAATAATTACCTGCAGGGGAGTGCATGGTTGTTTTGGGGTCTTTAGAGTCACTCAGTACATGGGTCGAAGTCACACATGCAAATGTGGTGCAAGTTGCTTCCAAAAGACCTACCAGTGTTGTGTGCTGGCAGGCAGTGTGCAGAGCATGAACTTGAATTTCACCGTGGAGGGGTCTCTCCAGTGCTCCAGGCCGTTCCGAGGTGTCAGAGCCCTGACTCTGTGGGGTCTGTCCCTCACCTCTAGTCTGCATGTCTCACAGAGTCGTCTAAAGCTCTGCTACTTCCTGCCCATCGGGCACAGCCAGCACATGCCATTGGCACAGTGGGCCTTTGTGGCCGTGCACAGAAGGTGAGGGCGATCAGCTTCTCTGCGGACCACAATAAGACAGAGCAGGGCGTGAAGAACCTTGTGACATGGGAAATGTGCAGTTGCCAAATAAAGCAGACTGCCCCTAGGGGCCCTTGTAAGTTGGTGTAGAGAAAAAGAGTATATGTCTGGGCAGTGGCTTCAGGTCCCCCAAGATGCTACATCAGGAAGAGCCGCTGCAGCTACACATTGCAGTAATCTGCAGTTCTCAGAGATGCAGCCACAGGCCAGAGGGGCAGTTTCCCTGGGGCTGTGGAGGTGAGCCCCTGCTCGCAGGCTCCTCCACGGGCACCAGCCTCTGCACTTCCCCCACTGCATTTGCTTTGCTAGCCTGGGGACTCTGTGAGTCAGAGGGCCAGTGGAGGATGCTGCCAGCTGTCAGGTGTGTTGTTTCCAGTCAGACACTCAGGAACTGAGGAGAACTGGATGTGGTGGTGCCTGTAGTCCCAGTAACTCGGGAGGCCAAGGTGGGAAGGTTGCTTGAGCCCAGGAGCTCAAAGCCAGTCTGGGCAACATAGCAAGACCCCATCTCTAAATAAAATAAATATTTTTTTAAAAGGACTGAGGCTTGGTACCAACGTTATCATAAGAGAGGGGGAAAAAAGGACTGAGGAGATAACCAAAGGGTGGGACCTGCTGCACCCTGTGATTTGAACTTGAGCTAAGACTCTGAGACTGTGTCACCTGATGGCCACAGTCCCCACTTTGATCAGGAGACTGCAGTGGCATGCAGATTCTAGGGTTCTAGGACTCAGTGTCCAATCAGAGCTGGTGTCCAGGAGCCCTGAAAAGCCTGCACTTCCTTTCGCAAGTCCCTTTGGAAAAGGCTCAGAGGAGGAGGCACGGGATGCACGGGGCCCTGCTGAGGGCTGCTCCTGTGCACTCTGCGAGCTGGCTCCGGTCTGGAAACCGGCCAGAGGACCCCTCTGCAGTTTGACATTTCAGGCCGGGTTTTTGACCCCTACACTTGAGGTTTCATTTTAGAAGGCTGTGCAGCTACTCCTTTTTTAGGAACAGCAATCGATTAGCCACCACCAGTGATCCCTGCGGGTCAGACCATTCTCACTGTCACTCCTCTGGGTTGCCCTTGATGGCATATGTGCCTGCCCTGCTGTGGGCAGAAGCACCAGCACTTGCCCTCGCTACAGGGCATGTCATTCCCATCCAGATCGGTGAGGCTGGCCCGCGCGCCGTGTCCTCCCATGTGCCTGGCCTACGGGCACAGAGCGAAGGGGAGCCCCTTGCTCAAACGTTCCTCAGAGGCCCAGCAGGGGGTGTGTGTCTTCTGAGTGTTGAGTGTGCAGCTTGCACGTGGCGAATCTCCTGTGCCTGTGCATTTTCCCTCTTCTCACCTGCGCCACCAGCATCCTGGCACCTCAGCCTCTTGGAACGTGGCCTCAGCAGTGCCCTGCATCTCAGTCAGGCCACCAGACGAGCGGGGAGAGCCACTGCTGGCTGCGTGCGCTCAATGTGAATGAAAATGTTCTGGAAAGCCCACCTATAGCAATCAGTTCTACCAAATCCATGTTAAATTCCTCCTCTAACATTGTTAGAACCTGTTCCCACAGATGCTTCCTAGTTTTCTGCAGATATGAACTGGCAAGATCTTACAGTTCTTTCTGTATATAATGTTTCCTCCTCTGCTGCGTGCTGAAACCTGTCCCCCCCCTCTGTTACAGGTCAAAGGGCAACAAGGCAGGTTGGGGCTGCCTTGGGGAGAGTGAGAGGCCCGTGCGGGCGTCACCCCAGGAAAGCCCGTCACTGGGCTTTCAGGCAAAGGAAGGTGGTTCTCAGACACTGGATAGCCAGCTGTTCCTACTGCCACGGGAGGCCCAGAGTAACTCCAGAATTCAGGAATCTTGGCTTTGTCTGAGTCCAACCAGATGTCCCTGTGCCAGGTGCAAAGGACCCCTCCTTCCAGATCAGTGCTTGGCTTTCATACGGTCTTGTCTACATCCTGCAGTTACATTTTGAGCCTGATTTTGGAAACATCAGCCCTGTAGCTACAAGAAATAAGAGATTCTCTTAGGGCTGCCGTAGAGGCTCTTTGGTTCTCTGACTGAGCCTGCAGGGCTCTCTGAGTGCTCCAGCACTCACGGGGCTCCTCCCACACCACGTCCTGTGGTCCTGGGCTCTGCCTCCACGGCCGGTACAGCAGCCACTTGGGCCCTGGCACCCAGTGTCATCACACTCACAGATGACGGTTTGTTAGTCACAATGCCACAGCTTACCCTGGATTGCAGGAATCTGATTTCCCACCGGAGCCCGAGGACAGGAAACCAATCCCAAATCCTCTTTCCCGGAGCCACCCCTGGTGCCACTTTCTCTGTCACTCAGGGTCCAATCAGGAGACAGAAGCCACACCAGTTATCTGAACAAAAAATTAATATAAGCAAATAGTAATGGGATATAAGCTAATTGGGTAAGTGAAAAGATTACTCCAAGTCTGGTTCCCAGGCCAGCAACTTCAGCATACGCTGAGAACAACAACATAGATGCTTGGGCCCATCCCAGACCTACTGAATCAGAAACTTGGGCGTGAGGGCCAGCAGTCCACATTTTACTGTGTCTCTGAGGGACTCAGATGCGCTCCGAGGTGCCACTGGGGTCA